AACCGCCCTGGCTTCGCACGGGTGCAATGTAGGTATACATATAAACCTTCTTCATTAATCACTATCTAGTAAAAAAAAACCGCATCAAGATCCGTTGCGTAGTTTTAAAGATCTAAGCATATATAGAGTATAGAGACAGACAGACGGCGGAAAGACTCTGTTTTATACTATGTTGATTGATGATATTCAATATCCTCCTTTTTTATTCTAAATACTCGTGCAACCCATGAACCCCACCAATTAAATTGTTAGTTGCAATTTTAAGTGCTGACTTATCGCGTGTTCAAATATGTGAAGTCCGACAAACGGCGGTGCAGTCGCGTGGGGAACAATGCCCTCTGTACAGAGAAGGCGTTTTCCCAGCAGTGTATAAACATAATTATATACGCTTCTACTTTATTTTTTTACTTATCAAATAACTATGCAAGTGCGCTTAAGTGATGCTAGTTACTTGGCGTGTTTTAGTTGTAAGCGTCATTTTCGTTAAGTCGGGCACCGTAAGGAACTAAAATCATTGATGCGAATAAAACCACGCTCGTCGGTTAATATGTGGCAGACAGGCAACCTAAAGTAAACGCGCGTGGGGTGACGCAATCGGCTAAGGATTCAACGTGACTCAGTGTTTGGCCGACTCGATCCCGACAGCCGTTAAAAAACATAAGATGTGTATTTTACAGATTGAATTCCATTTAACACGTTTCGCAATATTGCGTCTTGTTCGTTCGAATGAATGAATTTTATTGCTGGCTGATGCAGGTGTGTAAATTAAAGAAAAATTATTTTGGTTTTTAATGTGTCTCAACAGATTTGTGAGAGTTGTACAATAATATAGATGAAAAGAGTATTTGGGTAACAATATTTTACGCTTGGTAGTTTTCTTCTTTGAAAGAGCAATGGGACTTTAGGTACAGTGCGGATTCATTCATCAGCGTTTTTGATTAACAGAAAGAAATACATAATAATGAAACATCACGCTACAACTCTCCGTTCGTTCGCATCACGAGTATGGAGTTACCAAAACCGTGACTTATTGTTAAAAGCGATGGATTTGTTTCAGTTTGCGGTTTCGCGTTTTTGTTTTAGTTCGGCCTCACAGAGGTTCCAGTTTCTTTTTTTGTTTTTTTTTAATCTAGGAAATCTGCGTGTGCTAGCAATTTTCATTTCTAAAGTAGAGATTCTAAGAGAAAATCTATTATATAAAAATGAATTGGTGTTCGTTAGTTTCGCTAAAACTTGAGAACGGCTAGACTGATTTGGCTTATTTTAGTTTTGAAATATTTATGGCAGTCCTTTTAAACCTATGGGAAATTATGGAAAAATTGCATGGAAAATCGAATAGCAACAATATCATTTTCCCATAAAAACCTGTCAAACATTTTATGGGTGCGTTCTGAAAATTATTTTTCTATGTGTTCAGATTCATAAATTCCCTAGAAATATTTTTTTAATAAAATGATAATAATGATCTTAATGCAGACGTTGTTTGGCTTGTTTGGCGGCACATTCTTTTGATTTTGAATGTTTATTAAATTTCACAATAACCTGCCATAGTCGAATTTATTCCATGCCGTGGCCACTGACAAATATTAATTTTAATACTAGTTCCATTTGTTTGATACATTATTTTAAGCACGTGTTGGTCGACCGTTACATCCAGGAAGTGTTGCCACTAACCCACTTTACGTCGCATATCGTATGAACTAGATAAACTATCAAAAGTACGTTCGGCATCAGAAGGGTTAAAAAAGCCAGGACAAAATTAGGTAATCTAAGTCCCAGAATGGACTCCCTATACTTCTCTTTCTCATCTTGTTTACCACTGATTTGTTTAATCTGTGAGTATTTAAAATCCTGACAACATGGGTAACATTTAACGGGTCTAATATAAATAGGTAGCATTCTTTAATTTTAGTGTTACTTTATGTTTTACTCTTTAGGTGTGATCGTTGCGTAAAAGAACGTTGTTTTATATAATTCCATATTACTCTATGGAATTATTATGTACTCAATTATTTATTATTTTTCTTCATTGCTTACCTTAAATTAAGGACTACAATAAGCTGACTTAAGGCCATGTGGCTTATCTACCAGTCAACCCTTGTCACGGAGAAAAAAACACGGCAGGTGCTAACTAAACCATAAAAATAATCTTATAATTAAGCTTATGACTTAGTACTATTACACTCCGATAATTTTCTTTCAAGATACAGCACTGAATTTAAACAGGATCGCATTAACGGTGTGATCAATTGTAAATAAAACAACTCTGTAAATTGAATTAGCTGGAAATGCGAGCGTAAATGTTATGCCGTGCATTCGTGACGTTATCTTGGGGAATAATGTTCAACCGCCTATTCGCCCTTGCGTTATCAGCATGACCTTGGAACGGCATAATGTGTCGAGTTAGCTCACTACTGCAGATAGGTGCTACGTGTACAGTTCATCGTCAAAACACCCAAATTTACTCCATTATTGGGGCGTTATGGTAAAATTTTTGTATTTCACTAAAGTACTCGAAACACTGAGCTATCACGAGCCGTGATATCTCAGTGATCACGACCAATGAAGTTTTTAACTTTAAGTGCTGACTTATCACGTGCTCCGCGGTGAAGGAAACATCGTGAGGAAACCTGCATATTTTCGAAATAATACCAAAAAAATATATATTTCGAAAATATGTGAAGTCCGCCAATCCGCAGTGGGGCCGCGTGGTGGACTATGATACCCTGATACCCTCTGTATAGAGGAGGCCTTTGCCCAGCAGTGGGACATGTATAGGCTGTTACTTTACTCGAAACATCAACAAATTAAACGCGTTGATTGTTTGTAAAAGTACGTACTGATACCTGATGCTAAGTAAATATCTCCACGTTGTTTTTAAGAGTGGACACCGGTCGAACTAACCACACAAAAAGCAATAGTTATAATACTTCCACCTCACAACGGTCTTGTGTCAGTCAAACAATGGAAACTGCTGCATGTCCCCACCACAAATATTTAAAAACACATAAAATTATATATTTTTTAATTTTATAATTTTGTGAGATTTTATAATTTAAATTTGAAATTAAAATTTATTAATTACTGTTAATATTTTTAAATTACATCGGCCGCACCCCGAGAGAACGAGCGGAATTGGATTGGATAGAACTGGGTCAAGGCTGAACTTCGCAGAATGAACGCATCTACAACGCTATCTTAATGGGAATTGACGTCTTGGAGTGCATCTATTGTCAATAAAAAAAAGATAGGCCGAGATTTTCGCGCGGCTTAGTGGCTAGACGGCCTGAACGCTATAAGATGGTGCACGTTCGAAACCTGAGAGCGGCCGAATTTTTTTTTGAAATTTATTCACACACATTTTAAATGTCTACCGCTTTATGGTGTCGATGGGCTACGAATAATCTGTTACAACCGCGTAAATATTAACAAAATAATTTAATAGTCTAAATAAGAATATAAATAATTTGATAAATGTACGCTAGAAAGGGTTCGAAACGTCGGGAATTTCAAAACAAAATAAAAAAAACGCGATAAAATCCGTAAACTAGTTTCATTTAATATTTATGTACTACTTAGTTTGGAATGTACTAGTTTTTAATACACTCTTGAAAGTTTTAAAAATTCAATAGATCATTTTTTCAGTCTTTTCTGGGGATACGGTGGAGATGTTACAACAATTCAATAGAATCTCCTTCCTTCTAAAACTGACCTGAATAAATTTCTGACAAAGACGTAAAACAAAGTTATTTTATGACTATTTTCAGGGCTTGGTGTATTTTAATGAACTTTAAATTTAAAAAACAATCGCGTAGGCTATCTAATGTTATCTACACGGCTTTGGTTGCAACAGCGTTATGACAAATGCCCTCTTTATCGAGAAATGTAATATAAAAATAGAATAGGAGCCCGTATAATAATAGCTGTATAAAATACAATATATACAGTTATTAGGTATTAAGGCGTAACACATCTCTAATTTTATTCTAATTAACAATTCAGTATTTGTGGTGAACCATCAGCATGGCAAATAGTATCAAATTGCAATTAACAAGTGATTGTGCTGGTACAGGGATATAAACTAAGACTATACCTAAATATATGAAAAATTGGCTACCGTAGTTTTTCCCCCACTTCGTAAAACACTCGACGGATCGACGGATCTCCTTGACATTGGGTCTACAATGTTAAGGCTGAGAAGTCTTATTGTGTTCATCAATCTAGCTTAAGCCAGGGCTATGAAATTTTAGTTATGAATTTTAAAATCCATCATCAACGTCGCCTTATTTGTAAATAGTAGTTATAGTTACACATATTATGATACAACTTGAGGACTAGTCTTAGAGTGGACCTCATATAAAAACTTTAATGATTAAAATATATAAATCTGTGAAAATACACATATAAATCGAAAACATTAAAAAAAAACAAAAACGTAATAAATAATCCTTTTGATGATAGTCTTATCTAGTATAAAAAAATTGTTTAAAAACGGTGTACAAATTATATGTCCCACGGTTGGGCAAAATCCTCTTCTGTACCTTTTGTAAACCATTTAACGACCTTCTTTAAATTTTCCTTTTAAAGACTATGTAAACTTAATTATATTATATTTTTAAATTTGCAAGTTTTAGCAGTACACATTTCAATTCAACTGCTCTTAGGATTTTCGCAAACTAAATCGTTAAACAAATGGTACTTTTTAGGTTCATGTGCACGGTGGAGAAAATTCCGTTATATTTTATCCCTAAGGAACTTATATTACTCCGTTGTTATATTTGACTGACTGATTGGAATTTCATAGTTTTTATTTTAAAGAACGATGGTTCACAGGCGATTGGCATAAAAAAGCACATCTTGTGTAGTGCCTAATAATACAAATACTCTTTGGTCAACGTCTTTAACACCCCAGAGGAGGCCTATGTTCAACAGTGGACGCTTATAGGCCGAAATGATGATGATGATAAACGTTTTTAACCGTTCATTCCCTATGTTCACAGATCAACAGCAAATACAGCGAAGAGCTGGCAGAAGAATGTCTTTTGTGGATCAGACAGATCACCGGGGAGCCAGAAAATACTTCTGGTGACATGGACAACTTCTTCGAAGTGCTGAAAGACGGGACTCTCTTGTGCAAGTCAGTGTATTTTTCGAACGTTTTCGAACACTTTAAACGTAATGAAATCAGTATCAAACTATATACGGTATACGGATTTTTTTGCGGTTAGTGTTCATTTTAAACCGATGATAAATATTTCGAACAATTTAAAGCATTCGTGTTTTGGAGACGGACGGAGATATTTGAGCTACTTTGTTTATAGTATGATGAGGTTTACGGGTCATAATTTGTTACAAATTTCGCTAGTTGTGTTCGTTAATATCCTAGGACATGTTTATTTCACTTTTTTTTAAAAAAAAATCTCATGCCCAAAAGAAAGACAAAAGTTGAGCTTAATAGTGAAATAAAAAGCAAAGAAAAATAAAAGCTGCCAATGCTGGGTATAGTAAAAATATATCTAAAATATGTCAATTCAAACGAGTAAAAGTTCAAATCAAGTCAATATATTTAATTAGAATTTTTTTTGGCTAAAATGTATCATGTGATTTCACTATAAAGAAAGACCATAATTGTAATCAGGGTTTTGCATTACCATAATCTATATTATTTCTAGTTCTCTAATATCACATGAAACCAACCCTTTCCTGACAATGTTTCCTTTTCATTAAGGAGAAGGGTTTGCTTATGGGAGTGCCATGTGCCACGGCCGTTAAGGTATCTCTACGGCTTTTCCTCACGAACGCATAAATCAAAGCATGTTTATGGACAGCATACAAATATGTTAGCATATAAATGTTGTTTTAAAAATAAAATGTCACCATTAGCAAGATTATCGTTATATTTCATAAATTTTTCCATTGTGTATCATGCTCACACTATTTTAACAGAGTTAACATAAAATAAATACAGTAGGAAACTTTAATCTGATGCCATAGAGTAGCAGTTAGTACGCATTCTTTTCGAAATGACGCGGCTACATTCTACCGAGAAACCATTCCGAATTTCATTCCAATTAGTCCAGCAGTTAAAGTGGTAGGACCACGCAGCTGTCTTCACTGTTGCACGAATGGGCAAGTCCGTCCAGGGAAGTACCAGCGTGCAGAAGACCGGTCTGAAGTGGAACTGTTATACTTCTGCGTTTAGTCTGGTTAGTGAGGTAACCTGGGCCCACTTTATTGAAAGGTGGCAACGCATTTGTAGCCCTACGGGCTACGGGTGTTGTAGTTGTCCATGGACGGCAGTTATCACTGTGAACAGTCAGCTCGCTTGCCATCTTACATAAAAACCGGCCAACTCGCGATCGAATGGCTCCGTAACGTTATCTAAAAAAAACTGCAAAGAAATCATGTCTGTTGTATGGGAGTCCCACTTAATTTTTTTTTCTGTTCTTTAGTACTTGTTGCTATAGAGGCTACAGAAATACATCATCTCTGAAAACTTCAAATGTCTAACTATCACGGTTCATGTATACAGTCTGATAACAGACGCACAGACAGACAGCGGAGTCAGTAATAGGGTCCCGTTTTACCCTTTCGGTACGGAACCCTAATAAGCAGCCACGAGCATAGATAACAAACACAAAAATGAGCTTCCTCATTTAGAACACTGTCGTTCCCCGCTTCCAGACTGGTGAACACAATCAAACCGGGCATGGTGAAGAAGGTAAACAGCTCTAAGATGGCGTTCAAGTGCATGGAGAACATCAACGCGTTCCTGGAGGCGGCGCGCGAGCTGGGCGTGCCCGCCCAGGAGACCTTCCAGACGGTAGACCTGTGGGAGAGGCAGAACCTCAACTCCGTCGTGATCTGCCTGCAATCGCTCGGCAGAAAGGTGAGCAGATAAACAACGGAAGGGCCTTTAAAATTTATAATCGTTTTTTTTTTTTCTTAATAGAATTTTTGTTCTTAATGAATTTCTGTCAATCCTCAGTACGATCGCGTGGTTATTCCCTAATGCCTTCGGTACAGAGGCCTTTACCCAGCTGTGCGAGTGTAGTAGATTGTTATTTTTACAAAGCGTATCTTAAAAAGGAATCCAAAGAATAAATATCTCATTATTTTAGACGCTGATCGTTATTCGAAAATTTAAATTACTGTTCCATCTTTGCGCAATCAATAGTCAATCAATCTTCATCATATATTTTAACCCAAATCATAAATTATAATTTGTAAATGATATAGTGAAGATGTAATTCAGTTCAGTGCAAAGTATGGCGTAGAAAGAAAGTATGGCCGAGAATATCGCACATATTCCATACAATTGGAGGCGTGCCGTTTTTACGGAGTTACGTTACAATTGTTGTGACTCTTATGGGTCGGAAATAGAACGGAGATAAGTTTGCGGTTAGGTTTGTGCAAGATTTGCGCATTATAGACAAATAATACTAAGAACTAATAGAATTGACCATGACTAATTATCAGGAGTTGTTTATAACATTTTACGAATTTATAGATCGGTCGATTTAATATTATTATTTTTTGTATACGTTTAAAGATTTTGCGACAAATGTTCACTACACACAGACGGCACGTGGACGTCTACTTAACCTGTAATACTGTGGTAGGGCCACGCAACAGTGTTCGCTGTTGTACAAATGGGCAGGTCCGTCCGGGTTAGTACTACGACCTCCCTCTGCCTCTGTACAGAGGGTAAATAGGATCATCATCACGCGACCCTCACAGATTTCACATATCTTTGAAATATTTCTTAGCTATTTACAATATATACTTGAAATTACAAGATGTTTTCTTTCATCGCTGACCACGTGATAAGTCAGCACTTAACTTACTGACACCATGAATTACACTCAGGCTTGAATTTATTGAATTAAAAGCGAGCCCCCGGACGCAACTGTCACGGCTAAGAGCCGAGCTTAACCTTTACAAATCGGTGTTTTACAGTTATAATGAAAACCGACAAATTCTCTGTGTAGGAATAAGGCTTTATCTATTCTATACAGTCGAACAAATAGCTCTGTAGTATAATGAGATTAGAGAACTATTCCAGTATTCGCGTGCAAACGCAATACTTCGAGATTAAAAGCGACTCATAACAATGCGCAATGAACAGATAATATGTATGAATTACGTCTTAGAAGGGTTTAAAATACCTATAATTCAAAACACTTCAAAAGCTTCCTTACTAATATTATAAACGCGAAAATTTGTATGTATGTATGTATACATGGATATTTGTTACTCTTTCACGCAAATACTACTGAATGGATTTTAATGAAACTTAACAATAATATAGCTTATACATCATAATAAGACATAGGCTATAATTTATATACATTTTGTATGTATATCTGTCTTTCTGTCTGAATGTTACGCCTTCAGCCTATTCTACGCAGGCGTAGGCGCGGACAGCAGCTAGTTCATAATAATTTCTTAACATTTGCGCAATCTTACGAATTCTTTAATAATTTTTTGGGTTTTGTCCTAATACATAGACAAAAAGTTTAGAAAACCAAATGAGCACGCCTCATACAACTCAATTTTTTGTAATGATAAAGTTTGAAAGAGACGGTGAAGGGAACTTAACATCGACGACGTCAGTCCGGTCCGTGACAATGAACCTAGTGAATTACGACTAAGAGAATGTAAATTATCGCTACTTAATTGTTATTACTTAATTCACTTACTGTTGCGGCTTCGAATCCAAAATTCCCGCAGCGTGCACTCATGCTTTGCGGCGATATGTCGTTACACGTCACACTTGGGAATAAATAAAAAAGAAACTCGTAGGGTTTTGCCGCAGATGCGTTGGCACATAAAGAAAAAAAGTAAGGTAACAGCCTATACTTATCCCACTGCTGGGCAAAGGCCTCCTCTTTACAGAGGTTATCAGGGCATACGGATTAGTGAACTTCACATATCTTCGAAATATTTTTTTGTTGTTTCGAAAATATGCAGGTTTCCTTACTACGCTTTCCCTCGCCGTTGAGCACGCGATAAACATAAAGAGAAACAAAGAATAGCATTATGCATTCGCCAAATGTAAGTTTGCGCTCCCGTTCCAGGCGCACAACTACGGGAAGCCGTCAATAGGCCCTAAGGAGGCCGAGAAGAACGTGCGCAACTTCACCGAGGAGCAGCTGAGGGCGGGCCAAGGCGTCATCTCCCTGCAGTACGGCTCCAACAAAGGGGCCAACCAGAGCGGCATCAACTTCGGCAACACGCGACACATGTAAAGCGAAAAAACCCACAAACAGCTTCAATATTCCAACACAACGGATTTAGACACGCGAACGACAGCCGTTACGTTTCGTCAGATCATTAGCATTTCCCCAATAGCTCGGTACTTATTTACGTAGGTCATAAAGTGAATAAAAATAACTGATAAGGGTAAGGAATAATCAAGAACCAATACGTGTAAGACTTTCGAATCTCTATTTAAACGAACGGTCGCAATTCCGTTTGTTTCATTCCGGATGCTCGATTCATTCCATGTTTGAAATTTATTTTTGTACCACGTTTTTTTTTTAATAACTAAGGCGTAAGTATCTTTTGAACTTACTTTTAGTTTTTAAGTCAGCCAGCATTTTTTTTAGCCGATAATACAATAATTTCCTGTGCGCTGTAGCATGTTTTATAAAATTGTGCCAATTTTTATCACACACAAAAACAATTTTGTTGTTGTTAGCGCAGTACAATTATTATTAATGTTTTGTATATGTATTGTTGTAAAACTCTAGTGCCTTCAATCTCCATAGGAGCTTTGAAAATTTGTTCTTGGAAAGTAATTAAAAATTGTATAATATGTTTCCAATTTAAAATCGGGGATGTCCGATTCTTTATTTATTGATATTAAAAATTTAATATTTCATTCCATATTATGTGTTAGTACATACTGTGATTAACGATTTTATAAAAAAAAAACATCTTTATTCTTATATTTGAGTATTTCACGACGCGTAACTCTAGACTTGTAAGTTTCATAGAGTGCATTGTATCTTTATGAAAGTACGTAGAATAAAAAAACAAGTTCAATATGATTTGTGTTTTCTTTCAACAATATTTTAGAAGCCTTCACAAAACTAAAACTTGATTGTAGTTTATCTTCACCATTAATCTTGTTTTAGCATTTCCTTGCCCCTCTAGTTCACATTTTAGATATAAATATCGTATAAAGAAACGATCCCCAATCAGAATTTTGTTAAAAATCGCGCATAATCATTACTACTGCGGCAGAATATGCATCATAAAAGTCTACAATTTGTAGACTTCATTTGAGTTTGTAGACCACTAACTTATACAGAATAATCAGAATATAGTGTATTGATGTAATATAAAAACAATAAATAAACACCAGTTATACAACTGCACTATATATAAAATGCACATACAACTAACTGAATTTAGAAGACAAGCATTTCATTCCCTAAATGTAGTATTTATTCAATTAAAGTTAGTTCAACGTTAAACGATACAGCAATTAATAAAAGTAAAAAAAAAGCCACAAGAAACTACTTCTTTTCGTTTCACCTTTTTAGTATTTACGTCTCTTTTTATATAGTCTGGTAATGAATGTTTTTTTAGTATTAATATTATGTTTTTATAGTGCTAAAGATGTTAAAGCGTCTGGGCGGATTCCGGAAAATGCGGGCATGATACCCGCGGTGTGGAAAAAACTTCCGTCCATATTTGTACAAAATTTAATAAGCAACGAGTCACCTGATGTTAAGTGAGAACCACCGCCAATTGCAATTCGCAACATCCATAGGGTTGAAGATGCGTTACCACTTTATAACAAATTATATAATATATAACATATATAATATATACCATATAACACCAGCGGTCTTTCCGAACCGTTACGACCTGGGAACCTTCAAGAAGAGAGCATACTCTTTTCTAAAAGGCCGGCAACGCATTTGTAAGCCCTCGGGTGTTGCAGATGTCCATGGGCGGCGGTGATCACTTACCATCAGGTGAGCCTCCTGCTCCTTTGCCCTTTTTCTCCATAAAAAAAAATTGGGCCCCGGCTACTCACTTATGAGACGAAACTACACTACTTCTGTGAGCTCGTGCTACTTACCCGGACGGAGCTGCCCATTTGTGCAATACTAACTGTTGCGTGGCCCTAGCTCATTGTTTTGTTAGTTATACATCTGCTGCATTAACACCCAAATTATACCAAGCCACTTTTCTGACTTGAAGCGTTATTTCCATTTCTACGTATATACGTAACTAAAGTAAAAACATAAATTTATTCCTCGAAAATCTCGCAAAGTAACACCGATTCTTCCCAAGGATGAAACATTCTAATTTTAATAGAGAAAATGGTTGCGGTTTATCATCAGCTTGGAATCCTATAATTTATAAAATTGAATCCAAGCACCCCAACTCTGCTAGATCTCAAAATACCATAAGATCCTTTTGGGTAGATCGGGATAAAAATAAATATTTAAATAATTAACGGTAGCACGGGTCAACTTTGACATCAAGACGTTTAACAACATACGCCCGATTTCTGAAACATTGATCATAGTAGGAATAAACTAATCAGTTATCAATTGGCTTCTCAAATATTATTTGAGTTGCCAAAAACTGACATGATATTGGCAGAATTCTTTTGAGAGAAGCCCTTTCTTAAAGAAAGAAGATTTGCCAAATGGTTAAATAAGTAAAAGTTGATCAGAATGATCAATTCGCACCCTGCGTAGAACAACGTGACATCTGCAAAATTGCAATTGTTCAGGACGGCCGATTCAAATTGTATTTTTTTAAATGATCATAATTTTCTTATAAATAGCAGTTGCTATTACAATTTTTGAGGTTTGTAATATGATTAGGTATATAAACAAACAGTGTACTTTTTGAATGAATAATTATATAAATTTAGGAAATAAGAGGTTTCAAGTGTAATAGTGACGTTTTCCTATAATGAAATGTGAATATGGCAAACACTAATGGGTCACAAGATCACATATACACGTTTATGTAACGTTGTTCAATCAATTCATTTATAACGTTCTACTAAAAACTCAGAAATGAAAACTATGTATAACATAAACGCATGTAGCACTGCTTTCAACGAAATATCCATAAAAAAGTGGGTGACTGCGCAATAATTATCAATTGACTCTAATAGAGTATATTAGACTCGTCTATTCCATTTGTAAAGTAAGTCTAGTCAGTACAAAAAAACAGTGTCTAAACGTACATACGTCCATGTACTGCGGAGCACAAATCAGATAGAACGTTGTTCTATTCTGAATCTCAATATCTATAAGTCAGAAGAAAAAAATTTAAATGTTATCTGAAAATGTAGACATCAATTAAGACTATCCGACGATAAAATCAAATTCGTTCTATGTGACCAAATAACGTTATTCTACGCACGGTGCGAATTATTCAAAGAGTTAATATCTACGATGATCAGTGTTTCAGAAACTAGGCGTCTGTCTGTCCCGTGACCATGAACGCTGGAAAGGGCTCGAAACGTCGGGAATGAAAAATCAAACTGTGAAATATAATTTAAAAAACCCGACTGCGTTTCTGTGTATTTTTTTATTTTGATATACCCAGTGTCACTCTCACAGTAAATACGAATCTAACGACACCTCTTAAGCTAAAATCCATAAAGCCGTTCAAGCTCCAGAGCGTTCCAAACAGTTATACAAATTCTCGAAAAACATAACCCTTCTTCTGGCGCAGTCGGGTAATTGAAACGCGATTAAATTCGTAAAATAGTTTCATTTAATTTGTCAATACTGAGTAAGTTTCAGGTCAATATCCGCGACAGTAACACATTTCTGGCTAATCTACTTAAACACGAGATTTATTTATTGACGTAGGGGAAATGCCAATGCATTCCCTATCTCGGACTCGCACCGACTAAAACTCCTTCGATGTTCCACTCAAGGTTCATATTATATTGAGGGTCAGGAGAATGGTTTTCATTATACTTACTTCCGCGACTCTGCCAGCGTTGAGCAACCCCCTCTCTTCCGTGTAATCGGCCTCTTTTTTATGGGCAACCGATTTCCCGTGCCCGAGGCCATAGAAGCTGGATATCATCTCAGTGGCGGAGGGTAGGGAGAACCCTCCTCTCCCCTTGCTACCCCACCAATCATGCATCAGCGATGCAGCTCCACTGCAGGTGGAGCATAGTGAGAGTGACCAAACGTAATACCAAAAATCCTCTTCCACACGACTCCATCTCAGTTGCAGAGGACATGGAGAGTGACTCCACCCCTACCACTTTCAATTAGTTCCCTGCACCTTCCTTGCACGCATCCAAAGTGGGTGTAGGTTCCTCTTGGCTTTGCAATAGGGGAAGTAGCCACACTAAGACCCACCGCCATAATAATGCGGGAACCCGGAGACTAAGCACCACCTAAGGCAAAAGGCAAATTTATGTGTTCTCTATTTATCTCCAAATCATGTGGATATCGTGCGGCATCTGACAGTACCATACCACCTTTAATGTCTTATTATGGTACCTCTATATCAGATAAACCGAGAAGTTTAAAACCCGTTGATAGTCATAACTTGTGCTTTCTAATGTACTGCCTAAACCCAACAGGAAAACAACCTGACTGCTAGTTGTAGAAATATCTCAATTACCTCCGTACCTTTAGATTATTGAACGTATATTGATCATCCCCATCATGGCAACCCGGAACAAAATATCTCGCCGACCGCCATTATGGATTTCACCGAAATCAGAAGCAAAATTCGTAAATTACCTCTATTCTATTTTATTTTGTTGTATTTAGATTCAATGACTGTTTTTATGATGTTCTGTTTTTCATATAAAAAAACAATATTTATAATGTCCCAAGTGATCTGTTAGTCACGGAGCAAGCACCGCGTGATATTGATAATAGGTACCCCCTGCGACAAATTTATCGCCCAAGTGCGACCCGAGATAACCCGAGTCAGAAGAATAACAGAAGGAATTATATGCTGACTGCCGGCTAGGAATAGACATGTTTTTTTTAAATATCATAACGTATACCTACTAAGGCTTCTTCAGCCACACTATTGTCGCTTATATTGCGTAGATTTTTTGTGATTGGAATACGAAAAACAATATTCATTTCCCTTGTTTTTTGAAAGAAAGTATTGCAATAACTTATTTGAACCAGTCAATGTACGCTTCATATAACATCAGTTTGTCATAAATGACTATATGGCACAGTTGCTAAGTTATTTAATTTGTCGCTGCTTGTGGGTACCATAAACGATTACCACTAGAATTAGCGTAGAATTTTTGTGACCCATAGGAGGGCAGATCGGTTGCCTTCTTGCCAATACCATTTACAGTTTGATTCACATGCTGTGTCGATCCCACCTAAGTGGGTCTGCCCTTATCCCACTTAGGTAGGAAAGGAAATTTAGCTAGCACAAAACACTTTTTAATAAACTTGCAAATTTATTTAAAGAAAAAAACTTCATAACGATTTTCTATTCTAATATTATATAATATTGAATTTTTAGATAGCAGAATAGCTATCTTAATTTTCTTAAATAAAAATTAAAGTGATAAAATCTAAAACAGTTTTATTATCAATATTTAGAATTGCCGTCCGAAATACCGCCTTTATGCAAGCACACAATATATATAATCTTTTTTACACGCTTCAAGCCATTGATTAATCTGCGTTTTTACTCATATTAATTGCCCGAAAGATTACGTATGAATTCGACTTTTTGTCCATATACGACCTTCACTTTATTTTATTATATAATTATATGTAAAGTTTCCGTGGATTCTATTGATTTTTAAGTAAAATTTTACGTCAATATCATGCTTGTTAAATTTTCAGCGAATAAATTGTCTGATTTTGAATTTTTTTTGATAAGTAGAATCAACAGCTTTTTATTGTTCTTAACATGATACACGAAAATAGTGAAAAGAGTGTCAAGTATATAAGTATAGGAGGGACTTCTATTTCGATTTAGAAAATTTTGTTATCAATCTAAGGATCGTAATAGTTATTAAGAAAACTTATTTTTATTTGAGTAAAGTGTAGCAAATGTGATTCCTTTATATTGTACCCTTTTACAAATAAAAATGGTACTATAGTATTAAGTTCGTTTTTCCATTTACAATTTAGTTAATGTTGTTAAGAAACTGACACTTACAAATTATTCTTCAATCTCTACTTAAAGGGGTCATTCGCCAAGATGCAAAGTTGCAGCCCAGTGGACATACGACCGACAACGTCAGCAGCTTCTTTGTTGTAACTAACCGCGTATCTCATCCGACGAAGCAGACTTAAAAAATGTAACATGGAACATGGTCGATATTATTTTTTTAATTAAAAATTATCTAATATTTAGAACATATTATGCGACTAAATTATTATTTAATGAACGCAGTGTTTTGAAGTTTTGACATTCGCTTAAATGACGGTTACTTAACTATCTGTTAGAAATGACAAAAACGGCAAAATAGTTATTTTATGAGAACAATAAATTGTTATAATAACCTTAACATTAGTGGTCAGTATTATTTCAATAAAAATCGTTTCAATATTACATAATTATAATAAAACTAAAAGAGCTGCAAACAATAATTTATTATTGTACATAATATGTCATATATTATTAATAACCTTGAACAGCCAGTGATTTGCGTCAATCACAAAAATAATGTAGAACGAAAACATAATAAATAGGTTAAAAAGCGATGTTGCAGCCATCAAAGGCATTTTTAAACGGCTGGGCAATAGATACAGCAGCTCCTGTTGACCTGAACGGCTCAAGCTCAAATGATAACGTAAGTGTAGCCCCCTGCGGACTTGTTTGTCTCGTGATAACAACCTCCTTCCTGACCTCTGTAACAAGCCGCCTGCGAAGTTGTATGTCCTCGTTTATCTCTCTGATATTCCTTCAACTGTCTCATATGTCATCAATGCTTATTAAAATATAAATAAAGAGAGGCCATTAAGTAGCAATAATTTTGATAGGTTTACATTCTTTAAGAGAAGGCTATTTTAGTTTAAATAATTTCATTACTATGGAGGCTTTTTGTGAGTTATTTATTCCTATTCAATTATTAAAAACCTTTTATCTGCATATAGAAATCAATATATTATATCAAATAAGCATATATTATTAAATAATATTAGAATGTCTTTCATATGCTCTATTTGTGTTATCAATTTAAAAACAGTACATAATACTTTAATTAACTTTTTGCAAACTTTGTTTAGTGCGAGGTCAATTAGCTAATTATATAAGTATAGGGAGAGACAGAATAGTTCACTTCTATAATTGTTTTCAATTTTATTTGGTTTTTCAATTACATATGTATAAATTTATTTGAAAGACTTCTAAGATTTTAATTACATGATAAAACATTTTTCTTTTATGTTACATTTTTTTTACTAAAGCATAAGCATTTTAAATTTTGTTCCTTTACAAAGAACTGCACAAAAATTTATGTTTTGGTATTTGTCTAAAGATTGATTAAATTCTTGTAGATTTAATATTAAATGATAAAGATGATATTATAATAACATAAAAAGTTTTCCTTTATTTAGTAACATGTACCAATATATTTATTCTTCAAATCTATATCACCTTATAATCAATTTGAGTTTAAGAAGCATGCATTAGGCATAAAAAAAAATTCATGTCACATACACATATCCTTTCTAAACATTTGTGTTTCTACGATCATATGTTAATATATCCATTATTATCATATCTCCATTGTTGATTATTAACATGTATGCAAACATATAGTAGTCTAACATATGCATTAAAATATCCACCAAATAGATTTATTTTCATAAGATCTATGTTTTTATTTTTGAAAGGTTTTTAACTAAGATTGATTATTGTTATATAATAATATATTCCACTATTGATATGAAGCGATCTTGACCATAGGCAATAGTATCTGTTTTTTCTGTACATTCTAAGGTATCAATTTTTTTGTATGTTGGGGTCATAGCAGATATGTAAAAAATCTTGTTCCATAAGAATTCTTATCTGAAGTGTATTGCACATTTTCCAATGACAGCTTTTGATCTTATATATTGTAGTTAGCATAAAACTTAAATGAAATTAATGAATTTTGTTTTTTAAATAACATTACCATACTAGCATGTAATTCATCATTTTCAGTAGAATCTCTCTGTACTAATGTGTATTTCATAAACACAGAACCTGAAAAAACTTTTGTGCTGTTTTAGAGGAAACTTGACCTTAGAAACTCTCTCACATCCTCCCTGTCATGGTATGTATATTTATTTTTCTTGAATTCCAAAAGCTTGTGTCCTTTGTCATTATTTCAAATTTTTCCTACTTTCATGTCTCCAAAATAAAAACAAGAAGTGCCCTGTATGTAAGTCACAGAGTTGAAAATGGCTGTAATCAGCCAAATAAATCATTTAAATTGAGTAATATTCAACAAATTGTAGTGATTTATTTTACTAGGTTTTTAGCAATTGTCATTTATTATTATCATATATTACAAAAGTGCAAAAAGGTTAAAACTGGACACTTTCTTAAAATAAATACGCCACGACAACATCATTCTGTGTTGTTTATTAAAACCCATTATTAATACGCATTTGCGTATTTGTTTACGTAGTTTGAAATCAATCTTCGGATACATTTGCATCAGACTATTTAGACGTTTATTACTTGATAATAATGTCGTTCAGGATCGATAGAACATTTGCTATCAACGTAACGTATGTTTTCCGTCATGTGCAAATATAATTATATAATAAATAATTTATTCTAAGAACGTCATCTTGGTTTAACAACGATTAATCTTCAGCATTTTAAACATGTTTCATAGCAGCTGAAGACGTCATTACAATAGCGAGTGCGCATTTATGTGATGACATTTTTTTGCACATAATCTGATGCTTAAATACGATAGAAGTCTCAAGTCCGTGAGAATTTCGTATCACAGTTTTGGCAGAATGGAGCCAGCAACAACGCCGTCAAAAGTTTTTGCGAAATATAAAGGAAATAATTTGAATTTAATGTTGGATGGTGTGAGTTCTCTTCTCTGTGGCTAATTAAATTTAATCTAAAAATGGTTCTTGTGCTTGACAATTTGCTGGTAAGCACACTAGTTCAGTAGGAGCCTATCTAGCGTTGGTTTAATTCCGAATATAATCCGTAACTTCTAACTTTCGGCATTCGTGGTTTTAGCCTACAGACAAGTGACAGAGACCGTGCGAAACCAATATTGGCGGGTTCAATTGGTCATAAAAGTGTTCACTAACACACAAATTCGTGTGCAAAATTTAACGCCAATTTTTATATGAAACGAAAATGAGATAGTTTCACTGCGCTTTATGACTAAAGATATCCTTGCTTAAACATTTCGACAGTTTAAGATTGTAAAAATAAGAAAGTATATGACAATGAATACATAAAAATTTAATTTTACTTCTTTGTTTAGATGTATCTATATACATAAAGAGTAGATAAAATGTAACTATTGTCGCCCTAAACTAATTTTTTCTGGAATTTTCCAACACTGCTAAATTATGTAGTCACTATAAATTTTTTTTATTTTATCTTTAACGTATTTTGAAAACAAGTAACGTATGTCTATAACTAATTCTCAAATAGTTATGTGTTGTTTTCTTAACTGTGAAAACAATGACACATGAATATTAGTATATTGTTTATTTAGCAGTTTTTATCATACAAGTCTCTTGTCGTCTAGGAAATAAACAGCGATAGCAAATAATAATTTTGTTACTACTAGGATTACTCGAGGTGGTTACGTGAACAAGTTTCCAGAGCTTGTTACACTTTTAACACCACTTTGAGAATATTTTTTTTTCAAAGAACCTTCGCATGTCAGAGAAATGTAAACAAGACAAAAATTTACCTCCACCGTTCCGTCTGCAGGCTTTTTTTGTCACCACTGGATGTTCCCGAATTTAACTAAGAGAGCTAAGAATTTTGCCGTGTTTGAATTTCTGAACTGATCGTTTCTGAGCGTACTACCGTTGCTATCAATGACTCTTCTCCATTAACTGTTGTAGGGCCACGCAACAGTCTTTGTCGTTGCACGAATGGGCAGGTCCGTCCGGCTACCACGACACAGAATCACAGAAGACCGGCGGGAAGTGGAAGTGTTATACTTCTGCGTTTTGTCCGATGAGTGAGTTATCCGGGGCCCACATTATTAGAAGATGGCAACACATCTGCAACCTTACGGGTGTTGGAAATGCACCCCCAGGTCACTTGGCACCTTCTCACATAAAACAAAAAACCACTAGGTCTAGTCAAGTTGCTAGTGGAGCACTAGCAATACCACCATAAAAAGGTAGTTTAACAACTACATTTTTATGGTGGTCTACTGGTTGTACTAACGTAAGTTACCGCAAAAGCGGTCTATGGCCATAAATGTGTCGCAGTGCGACTAACTATAGTTAAATTTTCATCATTGGAACGCAGAAAGTTATACCTACTGCTATGTTTACTCTGTGCAAAAGACGCTGGACCCGTTACCCCCTAGTTAGCGGGCAGAGATAGCGTTTATCAGTCTGGGTCGCCGAGTGCGACCTCCGCCCTGGCCCCTGGACGCCTGCTGATTGCGGCCCCTATAAATTACCTAACAATATCTCTCGTGACAAACCACCGAAGCCAGTACGCGTCCTGACGTCCGCCCGTGCACACTTCTCGGTTACACGTCACGAACAGACCGTAATCTCGCAACGTTCTCGCCTTCAGATCCTCATGGCTAAATTCGTCGGCTGCAGTGACTTCCTCTCCCCTTACTGAACCTTTGTGCACCTTGAACAAAGACGTTCCGAGCATCCCCTCGTCTCAGTGTGTTCCAGCGTCGCGAGCTCCTCTAAAATTCCCACTGGCATCAGCATACATGCATCGCTTCCTGAACGAGTTGCTCCAAAAAATGACAATTACTTTAAAGTATCGAGTAAACCCAATCTACTATTCGGACTACTCGGATACGATCTAAGATCAATATTAAAACCGTCCCAAACAAAGTCCTGCCTCTGCCATTGGCTCTACAATTTCGAGTACTACAAGTTCGGAATCTATTCGAAGGACATCACCTGACACTTCTGCGGCCCCCCACCGAGGAACTAGCAAATGGATATCGTGGCGAATGTAAGTTTGACGAACACCAAATCGTTCGGTCGGTAACAGTTTGCCCTCTTATCGAGTTTTGACTCGGCTCGCAAGCGACTTCGGGTTAAAAGGTTATCGATAAAGCGTTTCACAGTAGGATGCTAGATGCGCTAACGTCGTGACAATTTTGTTCCCAGTACCACCCCGTATTCAAGGCGTTCCTCGCGGGCTCATTCTCGGGAACCTTCAGCACCATATTGTTCCAACCGTTGGACCTCGTGAAGACGCGCTTGCAAAATCCAACACAGCATGTTGTCGCCGCGACGGTCAAGTAAGTGTTTATTCGATATTCCGCCTTCTGTGTTTGTAATACGAAACAAAATACATTGTAGCCATATCGACGTCCTTTTGTTTATTTATACTTTATTCCTGTGTATTTGTTGTTTTAATCGTCGTTTTCTTATTACACTTCTGTTAAAGATATATGGGATTTAATGTTTAATCAAATATCACAAACGAAAAAAATATGTCATGAGCAATGCTCGTTCTAAAGACCGGATTTAACTTTAATTAACTTTAATTTAATTCAACTTATCGAGTACCTGACTTCATAAAAAAAAAACAAGTAATTAAAACTCGTAAACAACATTTTGATTTAGCAGTAGTGTTCGTGCAAATTTAAGAAATCGATAATTCAAATTTGTTTGAATAATTACCACTTTATCATCCTCATTCTCCTGGCCTTACTCGACCTAGGTAGGTCCGCACATGCGGACTATGCCTCCAAGCGATTTTGGTCACTTTTAACCGTTAGAACAAACGCCCAGATCTGGGGCACACAAATACTTCTCCCGCGATTGTGCGAGGGTTGTCAGTTCGATCCCCTAACTGAGAACTCTGGCACATAATCCGATAAAAGTAAAAGTAACAGCCTATACATGTCCCACTGCTGGGCAAAGGCCTCCCCTATACAGAAGGTACCATACCGGGTACCATACCGGGTACCATAATCCGATAGCATTCTAAATTACAATGGCCCTCGTCAGCAGCCGTATGCAGCCCGGAATGATAGCGATCTTCGCGAACATCGTTCGCCAGGAGCACATAGCCGGGCTGTGGCGCGGCATGGTGCCGTCCGTGGCTCGCTGCGTGCCCGGCGTGGGTCTCTACTTCTCCTCGCTCCACTGGCTGAAGTCCAAACTGGGGAAGGAGACCCTGGGGCCCATGGAGGCAGTCACCCTCGGAGTGCTCGCGCGCACCATGAGCGGTGTTGCCCTGATACCCATAACAGTCATAAAGACTAGGTGAGTCCCAGTCGACTAGTCACTACATAGTATAAAACAAAGTCTGTCTGTCCCTGTGTATGCTTAGATCTTTAATACTACGCAACGGATCTTGATGTGGTTTTTTTTACTAGATAGAGTGATTCAAGAGGAAGGTTTATTTGCGTAATACATTGCACCCGTGCGAAGCATGGGCGGGTCGCAAGTACTAGATATTTTACAGCCCACAATTATGTTTAATAATATGGACGTTCATACTGCGCGGCGTTTAAAAAAAATCCACTTTAAACATGACATATGACATATCTAAGAGAATATGATAATGATGATAATATAGAACGTACGTTATAGAACGAGACAGCAGTGTATAAAATTTTAATCTAATTACACCAATTGGTGTAATTTGAGTGCCTCAACTTCAGTGCCCTAGTGTCATATTTTTTTATAATACCATTGTCAAAGCCTATCAAAATGTAGAAGCCATTATTATAAATGTGCATATATGAAACAACGGTTGATTGCGTATCTGCTTTAGAAGTCCATATGTATAACTCGGTATTATCAGAGTCAAAGTTAAAATTTCCTTTATTCAATATAGAATTATTTTAAGCTCTTATTGGACGTCAAAAAACTACCACCGGTCCAATAAACTAGACCTGTCCAGAGAAGAAACGGCAAGAAACTTTGCGGTATATTATCATTACGTATGCAACTCCGTTTCTGTTAGAATAAAACTGTTTCAATTTGTCTAGAATGACCAGCATTAGAGCGTATCTAGATGTATTTCGTTTGCAATTGAGCGACATATTATGTTTCTTATATTGCGATTGCTTGAAAACATAAGAAAATGTATTGACTCATAATTTATACACGTAGTTAAAATACGGACTAATATATAGGTGTATGGTAATCCAAAGGTCGTACGAGTAACCTCCTTTCGAATGTCTTCAACATTAAAACAATATGATTAAATTTAAATAACAAGGAATTTTGAATTCTATACAATGGAATTAGGAATTTAATTGACCCTACAATCCGATTTCTCTGTACAGTATATAAAGTTCTATCGAATACAACTTTCAAACCCACTAGACAAGCTGCTACTACGCCACCTATAGCTATAGTCTCCTAATTACAGTATACCTCGTAATGATTATGGATTGCACTTGCGCACTGAGTAAAGCTCAAAGCTTCTAAAAAGATGCTTGTTAGCTAACTGAAGGTTTCTTCTCTTATAGCGAGCTCGGCTGTATAAATATTTGCCAAATATAGAATAGTTCATCTGTTTTTCATGTCTTATTTGATTTACTTTCTGTTGTATGCTTGAAATCTATGTGGCGTTTAAGCCTTCCCCAAAATCATTTACAAATCTTAGTACTGCTTTACTTCATTAGTAAATACTAATGATCTATCTGCCAAATATATATAAAAAATATTAATTACGAAATGTTTTCGAAATTATTTTATTATAAAAATATATAAAATCCCGAATCCGTCACTATATTAGGCTATGTTTTTAACCGACTTCAAAAAAGGAGGAGTTTCTCAAGTCGACTGTATTTTTTTATGTTCGTTACCTTAGAACTTTAGACTGGGTGCACCGCTTTTGATGATTTGTTTTTTATTTGAAAGCTGGTGCTTCCCACGTGGACCCATATTAATTTGATGTTGAGCTTTAGGTAACGTCTGAAAATCAATTATAAAATTAATACAGACCGAGATATTTGATGTCAGTTCTGCTCTTCGTTAATAAAAAAAAAAAAAAAAAAATAATTGATTTGCGTGCGTTCTACAGTTCCCCTGCAAAGTTCCGCTTCCGCTTCTCAGGTACGAGTCGGGAGTTTACAAATACAACAGCCTGAGCGGGGCCCTGAAGGCGATTTACAACGGCGAGGGCTTTCGCGGATTAGTGTGCGGCCTCGGCCCAACACTAGCGAGGGACGCGCCATTCTCCGGCCTATATCTGATGTTCTACACGCAGACGAAACAGGCAATTCCCAAAGGTAAGGTTGAAACTAACATCCTCAAATAACTTGAACAATGTTCGAAACAACGCTTCCCAGTATATAACTTTACCGGGAACTCTTCAAGGGAGGAGCGCCTAAGTCCGTTTATATCACTTGCTCTATGTAACTGTTGGCGACGAAAGGAAAAAGTTAAAGTTAAAAGGTGGCAACGCATCTGCAACCCTACGGGTGTTGCAAATGTCAATGGTCGGCGGTTATCACTTAACATCAGGTGAATCGCCAGATTCACTCCTCAATAAATGTGATAATTATCTACATTTAATATCAGAAATCTATTCTTAATCTGTATTTTCATCATATAAAATGTGGATAATGTAAAGAAGATTCAAATCATACTAACAAACATACTAGTCAAATGCTTTATTATCCCGTGAAAATTCAGTTAGTATCATTTATCTACATGACACAAACCCATATACTTAAATTTTAAAATACAAATGACGTAAACGTCGATCGAAGAACATGGTAACACGATAACGTTAAAAAATTTAATAAATAAATAATTAATGTCAATCATAAACGCAGAGTAAGTGTGACAGTTAAAGTAGAGTTGACAACTACAACTCCGGCGGCTAATTACCGATGCCCCTTAAAGAGCCCTGGTTACTTTACTCACCAGGCGAAACGGAGTCTTAAATATCCGTTTTCATGAGTAGCAAACTCGCTTTCCGCGATTCAAAAAAACCTTGATTCCTAAAAAAAGCGAATGCACGTCATTTAATGTGATAACATAATATTTTTAACACACCTGTCCATTTAGCGGTAAATCGATATGTACGTTATTTACGTACATTACTTTTTTTTGTAAGTCTACGCTTCGCGTCATTTACTCGAAAGCACCGCTTCAACTTAACTGTTCAAAAGTTATCTCAAATGTCGTTTCGTTTTCATTTTTGCATTGAATTCACATATTATTAATTCTATTGCATTAGTCTCGTGACGTATTTTTTTTTCACTATAAACATAGTGTCGGTTAGTGTTGGTTAAATAAATGTCAATTTGCAACGACTTAACAATATACACTTTTATAAAGGATTGTGATAGCATAGGAAAACAGCTGGAGATAAAGTAGAAATAACATAAACAACTTTTGTAAAATAATCTGTGAAAAAACTTATAATAACAAGTAAAAACAATATAAAGTTAGTAATAACGAAAAAGGTATCAAATCCCCGCCATGCAACGTTAGTCTGGAATTTTTTCTGTTTATACAGTGATAGACCAGAGTAATTATTCCGATAAGATACTCGATCGAAAGGCAAATTAAAATGAACGTACAAGGTTTGACAGGCCATTAAGTAAATAGATGAATTATGCATTGATGTCGTCTATATTAACTTTCTGAGGGTATCGACCGAAAAATTCATTTTATGTCACAAAAATAGATTTTTGTTCAGTTTTTTTTTTTCATTAAGGCGGGAAAAAAAGCAACTCTTCTTTAAGCTCTCTATTATACAAAAGTGTTATTAGATAATGGGCCTGTATTAAAAATCAACGTTCAGGAAATATAGATATGTATATACGTCTTAAATTTGCGTATATAATACGATGATAACTTTGATAATCCACATCAAGGCCATTTCCTCATTTATCATATAATTTAATATCATTATTTTAGCAGCAAAGCCCTTTATCGTGACACTTTTATGTTAAACATCTTATTTTACTCATCGGAATATATTTATCATAGCTTACATAACGTGACCTGCATGAACCAATCTTAAATGTATGTAAACATAGGTTTCTATTTGCGAATAATATAGAAACAAAGGTACCGTTCCGTGTATATTTTAAATAAACTGACTCTTTGTTATAATCAGTTTTTATATTCATTTAGATATTATAGATGTATATAGGTTTTCAAAGGAGGGTTTGAGGTTCGAAATCTAAGCTTCGATTAATATTTCAGTGTTTTACAAAAAGTCTTTTGTTTTTAACTTATTACGCCCGAACATGCGCATGCACTCCATATATGAAAAAAACTCAACATCTCACAGTCCTTTCAACGGCCACTTTGGATATCATTTTTATTTGACATGTTATCATCAATCACTTAGAGATATTGGTATTTTTTTTTAGTTCAGGTCCGTTTTGAAATAAGCTTGGTGATAATTGACGAGCTCTAGCCATTGTCCTGTCTACGACATGTAACGAAACGCGGGCCAAGATGAAATCGTATTGGGATTTTCTTCCAAAAATCATACATACATTTTTCAATTCAGATACGTAATAATAATAAAAATATCAGTGTCACACAAGTATCCAATCCATACGACAATTGAATCTAAGACATCGAGTTGGGATAATCTATACGGCTTAAGATGATATAGGCGTCCGCGTAGAGGCAGAAATGAGTAACCACTAACGGTTAGAGCTTTTGGGCGGGTTACCCGATTCGGGCCTTGAGGTGAAAATTTTTCAACAACCTATAGAACGAATAAATATAAGAAAACGAAAGAAAGAAAGTGCCACGACAGTAACTTCATTGTTGTAACCATAAACAATCTTTATTATTTTCATCTGAAATATCACACTAATTTATTACATAACGAATATATACACGCCGTATATCATGGCTGAACTTGCGAGGTCAATAATTTTGCAAACCAACTTCTTAATCGAGCCGTGATAGCTCAGTGTCCGGGCGCTCGCCTTTAATTCAATATACTCGAGCAACCTGAGTTCGATCCCCGGTGCCGGCACCAATGAAGTTAACTTTAAGTGCTGACTTATCACGTGCTCCGCGGTGAAGGAAAACATCGTGAGGAAACCTGCATATTTTCGAAATAATAACAAAAAATATATATATTTCGAAGATATGTGAGGTCCGCCAATCCGCAGTGGGGCCGCATGGTGGACTATGCCCTGATACCCTCTGTACAGAGGAGGCCTTTGCCCAGCAGTGGGACATGTATAGGCTGTTACTTTACTTTACGTTTTACTTCTTAATCAACCAGTTTAAAGGCAGTCATTATTATTTGGCCGTAGATTGGCTCCAATCGCCGAGTACCGCCAGCCTGGTGCACTTCTCCTGCGGCATCGTTGCCGGCATCGCCGCCTCTTTGGCGACAAACCCGGCGGACGTGCTGAAGACCAAGATGCAACTGTACCCCGAAAAGTTTCCGACTGCCTTCAGCGCGGCCGTGTACGTCCATCAGGTATGTTCAACTTTGATGTTAATCGTTTAGTCCTATCTCAATAGAAGGAGGGTATATATTTGCACGACAAAAATTTTAATTGACTCCCTAACAATCTTAAGAGTAGATTGTTTAATAAAGTAAGTTTGATAATAGAGCTCCTCAATGATTGCTAAGCAAACCTGTCGCATCATATGGAAAACGTAACAATAATTATATTCTTAAATTCGATAACTAAAGATCGGTCATATACAGACATTCAAAGGGTTAATTACTCTGATTAGATTACTTTATAAAAAGTAATAATGCCAGATGGTTTGTATTTTTACCTTTCACTGTTATTAATATTATGACAACGTAAGCAGTTTTCTAACAGAGTACATATTTTTTAGAATTGTGTATTATTTTCGGCGTATAAATGTATTCGTATTCCATTGTATTGGCTCCGTGGCAGGTGAGAAGGTATGGACTTGAGCGCCGGACATCGTGGGTTCGATTCCCACACGAGACAACTATTTGTGTAACCACAGATAATTGTTTCGGGTCTAGGTTTTTGTCCGCGTGAAATTTATGTATGTAAGGCATCCTTACAAAACAGGATAATGTTATCCTACTGCAGTAAGGGGCAATGTTTGCGAAGGGAAGACTATAATAGATCTTCTAAGTCGTATTTGTCGTTGGGACCTACTATCCAACCCCTTTCCACATAAAATACAATACAGGCTATGTCTCAATCACAGAAACGCCAGGTTCAGTATTTAAAATCGATACATTAATAAGCACACATCTCTTAGCTGGCTGGCTGAATCAAATAAACCTCGTAATAGTTTTTAAAAATAAAACTACACATTATTAGTCTGTTATTATATTTTTATCACAAACCGGCTCTTCCAACTGGTGTCGGTAGCTTGTTGGGGCTATTTACTCGATAACATCGGGATGACCTAAAAATAATTCAAATTGGCAGATCCTATCTGTACGAAAATGGTGTTGTTGCGATCTTTCATTGTGACAGTTTATTAAAGATGTGCAAAGATAAAATAAAAGCCGTTTTTTTAGTGATATTACGTGAATTTAAAATATCGCCCGATTAATAGTGTGAAAATAATGAATTGAGTAGTATATTTTTTGGTTCAAAATAAGATTCTTAAAAATAAATTATCATTTAGCTTCTGTGTGACCCATGGAAGCGACTGACTAATGCAGATAAATTAAAAAGCGTGTAGGATTAGAATCACATACATTTACAAAATACATGTTCTTTGTACATATTTATATATTCTGCGCAATTTGTATCACGTTCTACGCGTGTGGTGCAAGGTTCGAGAAACTATTCGTTTAATTTTTCAAACAACTATCAATTAATGATACCGACTATCAGTCTCATTAAATTGTTACGTGAGGTCGAAGTTTATCATTGATTGGTTCGTCAATTAACCGTCCGCATGCGGAGTCATAACAGCGTTATCCACTCGCGAACATCTACAAAGCCCTCTGGCACTAATAGTATTTGACAATTGTTTTCGCGCCATTAACGTTTATGATTACAAAAATAGTTGTTTTTTTTTATATGTGAAAACGGCCATTCACCTCATTTTAAAAGTTTGCCGTCGCTCATGGACTTCTACAATTGCTGGTGGTGTGCAGATTCGTTGCGAAACATTATAAAAGTGGGTTTCGGTCCTCAAGCAGCAGACGAGACGCGAAAATACAATACTTCCGTTTTTGTGCCGGTGTTCTGTGAGGCCGTGGTACTTCCCCGGACGAGCCTGCCCATTCATGCAACAACATAAGCTGCTTCGTGGCCCTACCTATTCCAATATGTTTAAGAGCCAAATGACTTCATTGATAGTTATATTTCTTATATTCAAAGTATATTTTATATGTATGCTAGCGGACCGATATATATACATATATATATGTGTATAAAAAGATTTCTCTCATATATATACTTAAATACATTGATGTTTAATAATATAGATGACGCATGCCCATACTGCGCGGCTTTTAAAAATTGTTCCGCTTTCTTAAATACATTATTATGATATACACAAGCGAATGTGATTGATAATTCAGAACTTATGACACGGAAAGAGATAGCAGCCTATAGAATTGCAATCTAATTACACCAATTCTCCTAATTTGAGTGCCTCAGTTTCGGTGTCATCTCTACCCCGTATTTGTATAATTATATCATTGGTTTAATACATACTCAACGTGTTTCAACGGGTTAGGAGTTTCATTTTATTTTAATTTTATTTTTGTGTTTCATTTTATTATTATATTATAACTATTTCAACGTTATCGGCGATTCTATATACATACAAATTTACACATTATTGATGTAAATAAATTTTCAGTGCAGAGACTAGCACTAAAAATTAAAAAAAATATTCTATATATATATATATATATATATATATATATATTGCTCACTCACTACACACAATATAATGCATAGAATAATTCTTTTTTTTTATCTTCACTTATGGACATAACATATTCAAAGAATTGGTTGCCAAAATTTTCAGAATTTATATTTAGAATAAGTGTCCAAATTATGTATGTATTTTTAAATTGATTACATAATAGCTTTTCGTTTTTTCAGACTTATGGCGTGCAAGGCTACTTCAAAGGCGCCGTTCCCAGAATGCTGCGCAGGACATTGATGGCGGCAATGGCTTGGACGGTGTTTGAAGAGATAACTCGATCTATTGGTTTAAAATGACAATGCCTGAGACTCATGCCAATGAGCGATTTGTGAAATACTTTTCGAGCTTCATAACACTATGTTGTTAGGTACCCAGTTCCTTAATACAGTAGTTTGTTGTGCAAGATGTTTGTATGTATGTATATAACATGCTGTTTTGTTGAAGTTTCTGTTTTTAATTCCTTAGGAAGTGTTTTTTTTTTAGATTTTGTTTATGTATGAATACATTCACATAGATTAGTATGTGATCCTATATTATATTTAACCATTAGCCAATAGGTTGAGTTATTTTCTTTTATAACAAATTAGCTAATATCCTATACAGTTTTATATGCAATGTTGTAATATTCTATTTTTGTAATCGAATGAAATAAATAATTTAAAAACTATAAAAATGATTTTAATCAACTGAAATCAGTTGGTTGGTAACAAAATTAACAAAATTGTATTTATATACATATATGTAGGTATTTACATTTGTCTAACATATCCATCGTCATAGGAATTCCAATCCCTCATATTTCGTACTTTCTATGAACATATCTTGCATTAATACCGTTCCATCAGTTTTAAATGCACTTATGTAGGTTGCTGTCTTCCCTTCAAATTCTGTAGTTTTTAAAGCAACTATGGCTTCGTCTTTCGAACCAGGTATAAACTTGAATGAAGAGAATCCATGTTTAGGTTGATGCTTGGTAATCTAAAAAAAATATCGTAAAAAACTTCACTTCTGTCATAATATTGTTGATTATGACTAACAGGTTTTTCAGGTTATAAAATACTAAGTTTGTTGGTTTAAATAAAATTGAATAAGTGATTGAACTAACAGTGTTCTTTTATAAAGAAAGAAATGAGCAAAGTAAACATAAATACAACATTTTTGTGTAGAAGAAAAAGACGTGAAAATCTTACTTCAATGGCTCTAATATTTTTGAAATCACTATCAGCTGTTATTAAATAATTACAACCCATCACTTCGTCCTTTGTTTCATTGTACGGCTCGTGACTACACCTACGTGGTAAGAAGTGCCATTTCTGAGCAATGGAAGACCAAGCTCCAGATTCATGGATCATATAACCTGGCCAATTAATGCCGATAGCATTTCTTACAGCTTTGAATTGGTTAACCCAAATTAAGTGCTGCACCTGGAAGTAAAAAGGTTCATTTAATTTTTTACATTTTTTAATCAGTTGGTTTGTCATACTATGTCAGAAAACTTACTGACAGTGTAAGCATCAGTTGCCAAAAAAGGAACTACACAAAGTGTGAATGATTTGTAAACAAATGTGGATTGACCACTCAAACACTAACACCCGTTTTCTGAAACACTGATCATTGTAGATGTCAACTAAAAAGCTGTCAAATGGGTTTTTAAATGTTATTTGAGTTTCCAAGAGGATTGAAAATCTTTAAATTGAACATTCTGATCATTAAGAAGATCACTGTGATCATTTCAGAAAGTTTAACCATCCTTTTGGCAACTCAAATAACATTTGAAAAGCCATTTGACGGCTGATTAGTTGTCATCTACGATGATCAGTGTTTCAGAAACCGGCCGTCAGTGTTTCAGAAGCCGGGCATTAGTGAAAGATGATTCTACTAAGGAAAATATATAGTGTGGTTTTAATATTTCTACTCCGATATACTTAACAAAGTCTAATAAGATAATGTTTGTTTAGTTGTAAAGTAAAAAAATAAACTGTTAAGTGTTACTCTCTCATACTTATAAATTAAAATATATTAATTTACCTCTCCATGTATATTAATAGCTTTTACCCACATCGGATCATAACTCTGAAACTCTCCACTTGCTGTTGTCCACTCTTTACCCATTGAACCAACATATAGAATCTCATCTTTAACTGTAGCCCACTCTGACTTGAATCCTTTCTCCACATGCCCGTTCCCATCTGGCAGTACCACCCATGGCACCATTTTATTGTTGATAATCTCAAAAACCTTGTGACATAAATTTAAATGGTGTTTATTGAAAATCACATTAACTTAAAGACCATGGTTAAAATGTTTCATAAACTTCATAGTTTTACAAATTAAACAAAGTATGAATGTAATTTATTTAAATTCTATTAATTATACACCACCTAATACTAAATGCAAATAAGTAAAAAACTAACATGTTAAAGTAGTATGCTGTTATTAGGCATATGCAAATAGGTTTTGAGCTGTGATAGCTGTGTCCAGGCTCTCGCTTTTAATTCAAAATACTAGAGCAACCAGAGTTCAAATCCCGGTAGAGACACTAGTGAAATTAAGTGCTGAATTATTAGATGCTCAGTGGTGACAACTATTTCAAAAATATGTGGTCTTGCTAATCCACGGATAATAAATGGAGTCATGTGATGGACTATGCCTTAAGACCGCCAGTATAGAAGAGGCTTTTGCCAGCAATGGGACTTGCAAAAGTTACTTTACTTTTTTTTAATAGTTTTGAAATAACCCTTTAATACTTACCATACCTGATCGATCATCAAATGTTAACAATTTCCCATCATATATTATCAGTTCAGAAAGCTCCATACCTCTTCCTTTATGGGAGTATGTAGATGAGAGTAGAGTTGCTGGTTGTGCATCCCATTTTACAGAAACATATTGCTTGACAGGATCATAACTCAAAAGTCCTTTTTTAAAATAACTATTGAATGTATAAGCCTTGGAACTACTTTTAGAATTAGTGTCTAAATCTGCCACTATACCTATTCTATAAATTAGAATGTTGCCAGACTTTGATGGTGGTGTAAATGGATATGTTGTGTTGTATTTCCTAGCTGTAGTGGTCCAGCGATGCGTAGAATGATCTTGACCACTAGTCCACCAATTGTAATAGAACAAAATTAATAAAAACACACCGACTAGAGCAATGAGAAACACAAATTGTGGTTGTATTCTTACTGCATTGCCAACTCTGTATGTGGCGGGTGTGCGAAGAGCCTTCCGCCAATCACGAAGAGTGCCTTTCATTTTACGGTCTTCCAAATCGTGATAGTCATACATTACGTGGATCAATTTAATTCATTATTGCTTCAATTCTTTATATCACAATTGGCGATTAAACAATTATGACTAGCAAAAGCGACGGGAGATAAATGTAACTAATTGACATTCACTATTGTAGGAGTACTCGGTATTGAATACGTTGCAGGAAAAATATGAAACATTTTTGATGTTTTATCTGAATAATTGAGATTAGAATTTTGTAAAGCAACTGATGTCAATTGTCAAAATTTAGGACGTGACAATTCACATGACACGTGGTACGTCTTTTTGCATCATTTTAGCAGCGGTTCTAAACATTCTGCCAGAGACCCACCAGTTTTTAATTTTTTATTGTATTGATACATAAAAGTGAAGAAAGTGTTTTATGATAATTATTAAAACGTTCACTGTCCAGCAATTTTTTTTTAAATATCTTTCACGTACAATTTATTTTTCGTTGGTACGTATTGAGATACTTGCCTTTATGCCGCTATGAGTCCTTAAAGGCTATAAAAATTGGGGGGGACCCTATAACCCCATTTTGAAGATGAAATACATATATGTTACGGAAGTTTAGGCTACGAATTTAGTGACAGACAATTGTGAGTCATGGACGTGGAGTTGAAAAATTATAAAAGTCTTGCGTTACCTATGGGTAAAAGGGGTTCACTACGGCCACCTGATTACCGTCCACACGAAATTTTTAGCGGCAAAATCGTCAATGAAGACTTATAGATCTAAAGGTTATCTAACTCAATCAAACTTGTAAGCCTCACAACAGCTGGCAAATCCTGTTTTGAAAGATAATACTCGTAAGCGCTGGAGAAATGTAACCCCTATGGAAATTCCAAAATTCATTGGCGTGTACTTGCTTACAGGGCTTAGTTAATGGAAGAAGGATGGCTTGGTATTATCACCCATTATTCCTCAACGTCCACTGAATTAAAATGTGAACTCGCTGAACTTCATAAAAGTTTTTTGGATGTAGTTGCACAGCGGGACAAACTAAACGAAATTGTGAGTGCATTCAACCAGTGCAGCAATGAGCATGAGAGGGCCTTAAATAAAATCCCGGAACTTGAAATTAATTTAAGGGAGACAAATAACTTAGAATTAGAACAAATTAATACATCTCGTGACGCAAACCAAACCCAAAATATGTATGCTGAGCTGGTGGAATGTAATCCTCAAATGTTTATAGACTTGACAAAAGATGACTCTTGCATCCAGCAATCTCGCCTATATACACAAAATAAACTTAAGAAATACATCAAAATTAAAAGATTTATCAAGAAAACGAATAAATTATTAAAAAATAGATACACACACAAACAAATTTATGAAATGAAAAATGAGCAGATAAAATTATTTAATAAACTAAAATCATATAAAAATAAAATAGATCAAAATAGGTTTAAGTATGACCAAGAAACACTTCAGCTCTAGACTGAAATTAATAATTTAAATATCACACTACAAACATTGACTACTAAATATGAATCATCTCAAAAACAAATACAAGAACACATATTAGCAGCTGATAATTTACTAGATCTTTGTAATTATAATTATAATAGATTTGAATCATTTACAAGTAAAAATACATGTTGTTGCTCCAAATCACAATCTCCAAACAAATTAAAAACTCAGAATATACCTAAGGACATAGGAAGTGACTTGGTCATACATGAATACAATCAACCGTCATATAATAACAATGAAAATGAAATATATACTAAACAAAATGTTACAATTGTATCAGATAACATAGGGCAAGGTTTTGGTTCGCTAATTTCAAAACATATAAATAATGTATACAATATATGTTCACTGGGTGCCAGTTTCCAGAAAAATATAAATAAAATCTTTACATTGAATGTAAATGAAAATAGTACTATTGTACTACTTCATGGGGATAGTTCATTTGTTAGGAAACAGGAATTATCAATAATATGGAAATATTACTGGGCTTACATTACAAGACCAAGTGTAAATTTATAATATGCGCATTATATGCATTCCATATTCCTCCTTCCTTACAGAGGAACAAAATAAAGACATATATAGTCTTAACATGACTATATATAATACAACTCACCGTCATAGTGACGCTTTCTTTTATTTTGACATAAATAGTTTTATTAAGTCTAGTTTTAAGGTGACAAAAAATACTTGGTATTTGCCATTATATTATAAGAAAATAATTGCTACTTTAGTAGCATATAATATACAAAACCCAGTTGTACATTGTACAACTAAGAACATTTTACTTAGCAATAATTTTACAAAAAAACAATGTTAGTTTAAACTAAACATTGAGACAACACCTAAGCCACTTAAATTAAATATTGTACACCAAAATATACAAGGCATAGGTGGCAAAGAACCTGAAATTGAGCTGTTTCTTAGAAGATTTAACATCCATGTCATCTGCTTCACAGAGACATGGTTACATAAGCATTTTAATATTATAGATATAGAGAACTATAAATTGTTAAGTTCGTTCGTAAGAGCAAATGCTATTCGCGGTGGCTCTCTTGTGTTAGTAAGAACTGATATAGTCTGTAAAAATCGACAGGATATAGTAGCACACTCTGTCGAACGTTCTATAGAATTATCCTGCGTTGAGAGTCAACAGTATATTATAGTATGCGTGTATCGACCCCCCTCAGGTGATTTCGATCTGTTTGAGTGTGTAATGGATGATGTACTTAAAAAACTCTGTTCAAGTAGTAAATCAGTAGTAGTTTGTGGAGATTTTAATGTGGATTTATTACAAGTGACACATCTTAGTAAACTACTTTTAAATTTATTTAGTTCATTTAAACTTAATAATCTTTTTCATGAACCAACTCGTGTCACTAACTCATCCTCCACATGTATAGATAACGTTTTCTGCCACGATAATGTATATGTATAAATATGTTATAAATTATCTGAGCTCTGACCACTTTGGTTTAAAATTTTCAATAAATGAAAAAGTTATTACAAGCAAACATAAGATCAAGTGTAGACCAGTCACTACTAATAGAATAAATTCTTTTAAAGACAAAGTGGCACATCATATGTTAAATAAAGATATAGAAGTCAATAATCCTAATGATTCTTATAAATCAATGGTTGACTTTCTCATATCTTCTTATAATGATGTATTTAAATCGCGCACAATTGTTAAAAATTCAAAATTAAAATTTAGTGACTGGGCAACAGTGGGTATATATAAAAGTAGGGATTCACTGTATGAATTATATAATATGAGGCAGTGGAATCATGACCCCAACTTTCATAAAAGGGTACAAATGTTCTCAAAAATATTTAAAAAAGTCTGTATTCAGGCAAAATCTATTCATATAAGAAATAGAATAATAAATTCAAACAATAAAATTAAAGCCACATGGGACATCATTACCCGTATATCTGGAAGACCCAAGATATTCAGGGAACCTATAAAACTGGTTATAGGTAATACTCCCATAACATCAGATAATGAAATTGTAAGTAGTTTTGAAAGCTATTTTTCAGAAATTGCAGTTAATGTCACATGTACATTAAAATCATCTCCCATAGATGCAATTAACGTTCTAAGAAATAATGTTACCTTTTGTCCCCACACATTTAAATTTAATCACGTAGATACTTATGATATTATAAAAGTTTTGAATTCTATTAATCTTAAGAATACAGGGGATTTATGGGGCATGTCCATAAAATTAATGACCACAATAATGCCATATATTGCACCACATTTAGCTAATATTTTTAACAACTGCATAGAATCTGGAATATTTCCAGATCTTATGAAATTTAGTAAGATAATCCCCGTCTTCAAAAGTGGGGATAAAAATGATGAACAGGAAACTACAGACCTATCTCCATATTGCCATCTCTGAGTAAAATTTTTGAAAAACTAATTTTAAATCAGCTCTTAGTACATTTTAATATGAACAAAATTTTTCACAATGAGCAATATGGATTTACTAAAGGCAGATCGACAACAGATGCGGGTATCGCACTTGTCAAACATATTTATAACGCCTGGGAAGGGTCGCAAGATGCAATAGGTGTTTTTTGCGACCTTTCAAAAGCTTTCGACTGCGTGGATCACAAAACCCTCCTTCTAAAGCTTGATTATTATGGCATTCGTTACATCGCCCTCAATCTCATTGCTTCTTACCTTAATAATAGAATTCAAAAAGTATCTATAAATGATGTAAATTCCGCAGGGTCCCCCATGAAAATGGGTGTCCCACAAGGATCGATCTTGGGCCCATTATTATTCTTAGTATATATAAATGATATCGAAAGAGTTATACTAAAAAGCTCATTTACAATTAACGTCTGTGTTTTTGAGAATGTTTGCTAGGATGACGGTAGGATATGCAAAACTTTGCATATCCTACCGTCCCGTGCACGCGCCTGATATTGGGGGGAAGTCAAGTGGGCCTGCGGCAACCTCAATCATCGGGCGCAAACCAAAAGCAGAAATACCTTTACTGCACGCCAATTTTCTGTGAGGTCATGGCCTAGTTTTTCGTAAGTACCAT